CGTGGACACGGAGGAAGCTCGTTGCGATGCAGAGTTGTCGTTTGTGGCGGCAAATCATGCGAGGATGTGCTCGCACCCTCATGCGTGGCTGCCAGAACCGCTCCCAACTGTCGCGTTCCTTCTTGTGAGGGGTTGCGAATGCTGAAGTCGGATTTGGAATTTATAGGCAACCCCCACCGTTTTCTACCCTCTTCTTTTCCCTTCTCTCAAAAAGATCGTAAACCATTGTGGTCAGCTCTACCACTACACGGCAAAAGACACTTCATCTTTGCCCAATTGGCCTAGCTTTGCCCAAGTGGCCTAGCAACCATGGCTCAGGCAGACTCCTCCACGCTGTCACGCGACGACTACACTATTGGATGGGTTTGTGCATTGCCTCTTGAACTGGCGGCCAGTATGATCATGCTCGACCAAGTTCATAATCTCTTGCCGACACTTTACGGCGATACCAACTCCTACGCACTGGGGAGCATATGCCATCACAACGCTGTTATGGCATGCCTGCCAATCAATCAAGTCGGGACAAATAAGGCGGCAATTGTTGCGACGAACATGAAGAGGTCGTTCCCATCCATCCGAATGTGCTTGGTGGTAGGAATCGGCGGCGGAGTACCGAGCAAAGCCGACGTGCGGTTGGGAGATGTTGTTGTCGGAATAAGGATAATGCAGTACGATAAAGTGAAAACGAAAGCGGCAGGAGAGGAGCGAACAGAGGTCCACAGAATTATTCCAGGTGCCCTTGGAACTGTCTTGTCGAATTTCGCAGCGCAGGACGACTATACACCGCTCAACAGTCGATTCTCGTCTATACTGCAAGAGAAATTAGCAAACGAAACCCACCGCAAGTTCCGTCCTCCGAATTTGGAAGATCGACTCTTTCCGGCAGATTATGAACATATAAGTTCAGAAGCTAGTTGTGATAGATGTGACTCTTCGAGACTCATGATAAGAGGGCAGCGAAAGACAAATACGGTAGTCCATTATGGAGGGATCGCTTCCGGAAACAAAGTCATGAAATACGGTAGAAAGAGGGACGAAATCGCGGAAGATCTAGACGTCATATGTTTTGAGATGGAAGCCGCTGGTGTAATGGACGTTATAGATTGTCTTGTAATTCGAGGAATCTGCGACTACTCGGATTCACATAAATCTAAAGAATGGCAGAATCATGCGGCTGTCGCTGCCGCCGCCTATGCAAAAGGGTTTCTGGGGATGATACCAATGACTGAATTCCAGTCGACGGCTACGAATCTTTCTCGTTCTTGTAAGTTATGCCGAAAACTCTGACGCAGCTGGCGGTCAACTTTACTCACCTCTTCTGTGTAGCTCAACATATACCTCGCGAGCGCCAAAAAGCTATGTTGGCATCTCTCAGGTTCAATAGAATGTCTTTTCGCAAACATACAATCAAAAAAAATCATGACAAGACTGGTCAATGGCTCTGGAACCACCCCTCCTTTCAAGAATGGCTTGACCCAGCATTGTTGTCGAGACACCCAGGCTTCATATGGATCCGTGGTAAGCCAGGTGCTGGCAAATCAACGTTGATGAAATTCGCATGGCTTCAGACACAAATGGAATATCAGCAGGCTTGCCGTGACCGAAAGATGATAGTTGCTTCTTTTTTCTTCAACGCCAGAGGCGAGACACTGGAAAAGTCAGCCTCGGGAATGTATCGGTCGCTGCTTGTCCAACTCCTAGAGCATTTTCATGACCTGCAGAGAGTACTTGACAGTCGAGACCTTGAAGAATTGCTGAATCTGGACAGCTACCCTTTAGTAGTTCTGAAAGATCTTCTCCGAGACGTAGTATCGGAGCTGGGAAACCGCGCCTTCTTCGGCTTCATCGATGCTTTGGATGAGTGCCATGAATTGCAACTCATGGATATGGTTCGGTACTTCGAAGAACTGGCGGAGCATGCAACACAGAAAAGCATTCCGCTTCGAATCTGTTTCTCCAGCCGCAACTATCCCTATATCAACGTACGAAGAGGTGTAGAGCTGAGGCTGGAGTATCAATCCGGTCATGCCCAAGACATAGCGAACTACGTTCAGAGCGAATTGCAGATTGAAAATCCTGCCTTACGCGAACAACTAGTTTCTCAAATTCTCAAGAAATCTGCAGGTGTCTTTCTGTGGGTTGTTCTTGTTGTGGACATACTGAACAAGGAAGAAAGAGACGGCCGACCAACCTTCACAAACCGCCTATCAGAACTACCATCTGGATTGAGCGACCTATTCGAAAGTATAATAAAGCGTGATAATGATAATGTGGATGATTTACAACTGTCTCTTGTGTGGATTCTTCTGGCTCAACGACCACTAGAATTGGAAGAATTCTATCACGCCTGCTGGCATTTTAAGGACCCAATGTTGGCAAAACAATATACTAAGGATCGGGGAGAAAAGTACGTGCTCAGTTCCACAAAGGGTCTTGCTCAGGTATCGCAATCCACGCCACCAATTGTGCAATTTATACACGAATCAGTGCGAGATTACCTTCTCAAAGACGACGGTCTTCGGAAATTATGGCCTACTCTTCCATTTAATTGGAAGGACATGGGACATGAACAACTGAAGCACTATTGCTGTATATACATCCAGCACGCTATCAACTCTGCATATATTAACAGCCCTGACGTTGAGAATGACGACATCTCAGAGAGGCTTCCATTATTGCGTTATGTAACTCAGAATGTCCTCCACCATGCTGAAAACGCTGCGGACTCCATTGGGCAGGGTGTGTTTCTGGAAGAGTTTCCTACTGCCCAATGGGCAAGTCTTGAAAATAAGTATCAGAAATATAATATTCGCCGACTTACCCTAAAAGCGGATCTTCTCTATATACTTGCAGAGAGGGGATTCCCGAATCTCATCCGAACGCGGCTTCAAAATCATCCGAATATTCTTATACGCGGCGAAAGACACAAGTACCCGCTGTTTGCCGCTTTGGCTAACGGTAACAAAGACGCCGTAGCTGCTCTATTAAATTTACCTTCGACCATCTATGATGGAGAGGACATCACAGAGGGTCTGAACTATATCAAAGATATGAGAGACTACGTCACTCGCACACCGCTCTCATGGGCCGCCCAGGAGGGTAGAATTGGTCTCGTTAAGCTGCTTCTCCTCGCACAAGCAGATGTCAATGAGCGTGACAAGGCGGAACAAACACCGCTTTTGAGAGCACAATCCAAAAGACATTGGTCAGTGGTAGCGATTCTCATCAAAGCCGGCGCTGATGTGAACGAAAAGAGCTACATGTATAACGACGGGGATCGGACGACGCCTGTGACCCCACTCATGTACGCCTCAGCCGAAAATGATGAGATATCTGCAAAGCTCCTCATCCAGAATGGCGCAAAAGCCGATGCAATCTGTTATTATATTGATAGAAGACTAAGAGGACTAACAGCACTGAAAATTGCCTCGCGCCATGGCCACGAGGCAATGGCAAGACTTCTCATTGAGCACGGCGCATTAGGTGGTGATTGGCAAATTGAGATCAATCCACTCGCAGCAGCCGCCGAGAATGGCCATATAGGTGTGGTTGCGCTTCTCACTGAAAATGGCATATATCCATACATGAAAGAGTGTGGAGGTTTTGCGCTTGTGAAAGCATTGCACTATGGCCATTTTGCAATAGCCAGTCTATTGATCAGCAGGGGGGCAGATATAGAGTTTGAGACAGGCTGTTTTGATGAGCCTCTGTTGTGCTCGCCACTTGCGGCGGCGTCCAGGAAAGGCCATGAATCCCTGGTTAGGCTGTTGATCAGCAAGGGGGCGCGTCCAGATCCGGGCTCGCTAATTAGTGCTGCGCGTATCAACCACGAGGCGATAGCCGAGCTGTTGATTAAAGGAGGTGCGAGTGTAAATAAGGTCTCTACATATCAGGATAAAACGCCACTTATGGTGGCCTGCTGGGCTGGTCATGAGGCAATGGTCAAGCTATTCATCGACTACGGGGCGGATGTAAATCAAGCCGGCTCGGTAACTTATCCAACAGACACACCGCTGAAAATTGCCTCGGAGGCCGGTCATGAAGCTGTGGTACGACTACTTCTAGAACACGGCGCACAGGCCGAGGCGCGGGAGACATTGCAAATTCCGTTGCGATGATAAGCAGGAAGATGGCTAGCAAGATTGAATACAATGAATTGCGTCAAGGGCCCGTCTTCCTCAGACATGTGTCAAGACAGCTTAGCTGAGACGGTTGAGTCGCTGGTGAAGCCCAATTAGTCGAGCAGAATGTTCGTCTCATCTCGAGCAAACTATCTGGTAATAGTCCCGTATATTTAAATAATTCATATTCCTTTTAGTTTACAAGTAAGTAGCCCTTGATGAAAAATCCCAATCTTAACTTTAAAATATAGCCTATTAGCTTATATAATATATTATAATAAAAATAAAAATAAAAATAATCTTATAAAACCAAGGCTAGGATATAAATAAGCGCCTTATAATATAAATACTTCATATAATAAGTTTAAACCTACTTTTTATAATTCGGCGATAGTGTCCGACTTGATATTTGCTTCTCGTCATCGTCCCTTTAAGTAACCGTTTGCAACGAGAGTCGAAGGAACATGGAAGTCGTCATGCATAATACTCGGCTGATAGTAGAGGGACCACAATGAGCCGTGGGCCATGGTAGCAGTGAACCGAGATTTTGAAGATGAAAACGTTGCTGCATCGTCACTCTACGGACAGGCCACAACTTGACAACCGCCACGAGAAGGGGCGGCAAGACTGGACCAGATTTGATACAAGGGCAGGCAAGGCCGGTGGACAGGACAGGGTGCCTGGAAAATGGGACTGGTGGTCGACGGGTGTGTCGGCGCCGTCCAGTCTGGGCTAGCCAGGGCCACAACATTGAAGAAGGCAAATGACGGGAAATTGCTGACGAGTCGTCGCTCCAGCTGCAAGACGAATTGGATGCACTCGACATGGCAATTGAGAAGCTGACAGATGAGCAAACCGAGCTTGAGACAGAGACAGAGATCATAACACTGGACGGCTGGGGCTAGACCACGGTCTTCTCCATATGAGGGACAACATGATCGGGACACCCACACATGCAATGATGGCGGTATTTGGGCCAGCGTGCAAGACCCTGGAAAGCTGTCCAAGAAAGATCAACAACACAGGTTGTTTCTTCGGAGGGATCCCTGTATCCATCACCTTGGCAAACTCTTTATGATAGGCGCTTGCATCCCGCTCCTTCATCTCCGCAACCAGCCTCCGTAGCGGATCTTCATCTATAAAGGTCTTAATGGATTCCTTCGCCGCCTCTTTGTCTGCACGGCTCAGGTATCGATACGCGAACCAATCCAAGTCTGTCCAGTTTTCTAGAGCGTTGGCAACTAGTGGCTCTGCGCGCGTGGACCGTTCTGCCCACTCACGAGAAAGCAATGTATTGCCAAACATGTATAGCTCCCGGGATTCAGTCACGGAGAGGAATTCCTTGAATGACGTTATAAGAAAGAGTTGCCACGTGTTGTGTCCAGCTAATTCGACTGTAGTCCTGCCGCTGATCCAGAGGGGCGGAACGAAAAACTGGACTGGGACAACGCGGCTCCATTCCCAGTCAAGAACACCAATGATGCGCATCTTGTCGTTGACCATTAAATTCGATGGATGGAGATCACCGTGGACCAGCACAAACGGGCCATTATCCAGCGTCGGGTCAATCCATTGTTTGGCGTGCTGGTAAAAGAGGTAATGTGATATACGGCATCTCGGCCCATGCCCACCTCGACGGCGTTTCGGCTTTTAAAAAATGCGTTGTAGCCAATGTCTAGTAACATATTTGCGTAAGCGGTAGCCGACTGCATGCAACCACGGTCGTCAGAGTGCGCATCCTGAACGGCAAACGGATCCAAGCCCTCTAATTGTTGCATGTTGATGTCGATTGTAGCTGCCTTTTGACCAACTTGGAACCCAGTCAAGGTTTGCGTCTGCTCAAGTCTGCCAATGGAATGAAATTCCAGTCGTCTGAGCTGTATGTAAATGTCGGCCAATGACGTATAGAGTTGCTCCCTTTCTTGCGAATTCAGCTTCTCCATCTGAGTACTAGAGAGCATCGTGCCGTCAACGTAATCCAGAATAATGAATGTCGATAGGGGGTCTGAATTGGCATCCTCACTATAAGCTAGAATTTTTGGAACGGGTATGGTTGTGTTTTCTTCAAGGCAGCTGACTGTTGTCAGCAAAAGACCGACCTTGAAGGGACCATGTACCTACAGCATTGTAGCTACCTCGCTTTTTATCTTGCGGCCCGGGCAATACCCGAGGCAGGGTCGCAAGGGAATTCGCAAAACGCATCTCTGCAGGTCTGAAAACTGGATAAAGAAGCAGAGGTTGTAGCTTCCCTGGGTAAAATAGTCGCCTACCGCTGGCGCCTGGAAGAAGGAACTGGGACCTTTGTCGCAGCTAGTTGAGGCGAGTTGGAGAATTTCAGCCTCGCGATTGCGTACGCTTCTAATAAACTGGTCCCGTTCATAATGCACCAAGCGCTCTACTATGCCGTTGTTGAAATGAGATGATCTGGCCATTATTTGGCTGCTCTCTGCAATGCTGAAAGGGGTCAATTGCAGCAACTTGTCTGGGCGCAGCTTCGCGAGCGTGCATGTGGACGGAGTTTAGTTTTGCCGACACCAAACTCCAGTACCGCGGTCTGGCGTTTCTATTGGTTGGTGAGAAGATATAAATACATTCCTGTGCCCTAACAAGTCTTGATGCTAATATTCTTTTCCTGGCGTTTGGCATGACATGATGCCGGTCGATGTCGGCCAGCACGATAGCTGAACCTACAACTGGAAGAGAAGAAGATCAAGGGCAACTGTTTACCCGGTTAATCTTTCGCGCAGCTTCAACCCACTCGGCCTAGAGCCTGTGACTTTGTAATTTGTGCACGCAAACACTGCAGTGCAAGGCGACCTTTTCGGCGAACAATTAGCGTGCTGACATCTCTTTCGAGCCGCATGCAACGGCCCCGCCTCCCGGGCCGGGATCCACGACATATGTGCTCCGTAGTACATGTGTATCTCGAGGGGGCTCAAATGTCAGCAATATCCTCAGTCGACGTCGTCCCATCTTCAGTCATCAATGTAGCGATTTGGCTACGATTTGATTGATGGATTTCCCGGCATTCCGGGGTGGCATACTCGATTTCGTCGCAGATGATTCGCGTAGGGCATTCATACACGAATAGTACCATATTCGCTGACTTCAAACACTATATCCAGGCCCGACGATAAATCCGTACTAGAGATGAGCATCTCGCGAAATTGCCTAATCAGCAACAAGCCACTTGACGATTCCTTGCCTAGCGCGGTGTGGGGTAAGCGGCCGTTGGAGCGAGGAAACCATGAAGATGATGAATGGATGTGGGGAAATCGTAGCCGCCTGCTGAGCCGAGGGTGACAAACCCCAGCCAACAGACTGGATGACGGCGCAAGGCTGCGTGAGGGGAATGAGACACCACCTCCTCCGCCCTCACGACTTCTCTGCTCGTCAACATCTCGCTGTTGCGCAGGTTCCGCCCGCAGAGCGCGCTCTTTTCGCGAATTGCCGCTTTTCTTTTGCGTTTTGTCGAGGGCCGGGACGCGCCAATTGAGCCTGCCGGCTGTGCATACTACGTCATCACGGGATCGCGGTGGGCTTCGTTGGCACGCGACCCGGGCTGGGTATATCGTCCCGCAGCTGGACACGGCACAGGGCCCGCAGGATGAGGACGCTGCTGCGCGTTGCTGGAGGACGGCGGGTGAGCGGGAGGGCCTGGAGCGCTGCCGGTGCGCGGCGGGCAATGTCGACGGAGGGATTGAGTTACCGGACTGGGCCGAGCGAGGTGTGTATTTGTGCTTGATGTTGCTTTCCAGGTGTTGGCCGCGATGGCGTCTCGTCAATGTCCGACGAGCGGATGAGCCGCGAGGCCTCGTTGCTGCCAGCCCCTAGTGTCAATCACCGGGTAACCTCGTCTCACAATGGCTAACATTCGTCACAGCCGCCGCTGTACATGGGCACGATCCCAGAACATTTTGCGCAGGTCGTCTCGCGTCATGGCGACCGCGCGGCCGTCATCACGCGGTCCCCCACGCCGGCTGCCTTCGAGACAACCCTCACATACTACATGCTGGACCTGCTCTCTAACCGGCTGGCCTCGTCGCTCGCGAGCCTGGGCGTCAAGAAGGGCGACCGCGTGGCCATATCGCAGGGCAACACGCCCGAGTTCGCTGCCCTCACCTACGCCTGCTTCAAGCTGGGTGCCGTCCTGGTGCCGCTCAACCCGTCCTTCAACGCGGCCCAGGTGGAGGCCGCGCTCAAGCACCTCGCCGCCGAGGTGCTCATCATGGGCGCCGTCACCGACCTGGCCTACAAGCCCGGCCAGGGCCGCAGCAACGAGGAGCTGCTGACCAGCATCGCGGGCGACCTGCGCGCGTCCACACCCCAGAGCGAGGGCGTACCCAGCCTCAAGCGCATCATCGTCGTGGACAACCGCGTGTCCCACCAGGACGTTCGCTTCAAGCTCGACGAGTGCCGCGCGCTGACGCCGTACCGCGCGCTCCTCGACGGTTCCGACCGCAGCGTCATCCCCTCGGCGCCGCTGGATGCCACCGACACCATCAACATCCAGTTCACGTCGGGCACCACGTCGATGCCCAAGGCCGCCATGCTCAGCCACCGGTCCATCCTCAACAACGGCATCTTCATCGCGCACCGCATGGGCCTCGAGCCCGCGGACCGCATCGTCGTGCCGCCCCCGCTGTTCCACTGCTTCGGCTGCATCCTGGGATACATGGCGACGGCGACGACAGGCAGCGCCATCCTGTTCCCCAGCCCGGCCTTTGACCCCGTCGCCACGCTGCGCATGTGCGCCGACCACGACGCCACGGGCCTGTACGGCGTGAGCACCATGCTCGTCGCGGTGCTCGAGGCCCTCGACGCTGGCGGCGCCGTGGCCAGCCCGCCCGCCCACCTGCGCAAGGGCATCGTCGCCGGCTCCTCGGTGCCCGAGGCCCTCATGAAGACGATCCGCCGCCGCCTCGGGCTGCGCGACCTCGTCATCTGCTACGGCATGACCGAGACCTCGCCCGTCAGCTGCATGACGTCGCCGGCCGACCCGCCGGACCGCCGGACCGCCTCGGTCGGCACCCCGATGCCCCACACCGCCGTCAAGATCGTCGACCCCCGCGACCGCGCCCGCCTCGCGCCCCTCAACACCCCCGGCGAGCTCGCCGCCGCCGGCTACCTCGTCATGAAGGGCTACTTTGGCGACGACGCCCGCACCGCAGACGTCCGCGTCGCCGAGCCCCGCCTCGACGGCTCCCCCGGCCTCACCACCTGGATGTACTCGGGCGACGAGGCCCAGATGGACGAGCAGGGCTTCGTCACCATCACCGGCCGCATCAAGGACCTCATTATCCGCGGCGGCGAGAACATCCACCCGCTCGAGGTGGAGAACTGCCTCTTCCAGCTGGACGGCGTCATGGAGGTGAGCGTCGTGGGCGTGCCCGACGAGAGGCTGGGCGAGACCGTGGCCGCCTTCATCGTGCCTCATCGCGGGTGGAAAGGGGACGACGGCCAGCACGCCGGCGAGGAGGGAGACAAGGTTCTGAAAAAGGATGCCGTGAGGGAGTGGGTGCGGTCCAAGCTGTCGAGCCACTTGGTCCCGAAACACGTCTTTTGGGTCGACGACTATCCCAAGACGGCGAGCGGCAAGATTCAGAAATTCAAGCTGAGGGACATGGCGGTCAAGATTCTGCAAGGGAAATGACGTGGTTTTGGAACAATGGGCCCCGTCGAGGCCGGATGGAAATGGCCGTGTTTGGCCGTGATTTGAAAGCCATGTATAAAGGAGCGGATTGCATTGCATTCTTGGATATAACGTTTCCCATGATTGATTGGCTTTTAACAATTTTCTTCCCTGTGAATCCACGGCTCAATTGAGACCAAGCAAGGCTTCTGCTCCGCGTGATGCGTTTTGAACACGTGAAGCATCCTTAACCGCACATCATGTTCACCTCACCTTCACATCACGGCCCGGCCCCTACTCATGATCCATAATGAGCTGTTTCAGCTAATGCAAAGTCTAGGAGTTCCCGCTCTCATGCGTCATCTTGCATCTGCACAATCACTGCGCACGATGTATATACCATTCCGAGCCTTTAGAAACGAAAATAACAATCAACTATGGCAATGTCCGGTTCCCCGTCCCCGTTCCAAGTCCGGGCCGGCGTCATCACTTAACCCAACAAGACGAAGCAGTGTCATAAAAATAGAACCACGCCCAACATTTGAATGCAAGAGGCCGATTGAGCCTCAACGAATCATTGGAGTCTGGGAGAAATGGGTTTGAGCAGTAAGTAAGTCTCAACGCCTTTAACTCCGCTGTCCCTACCTCCTTAATCAACTTGCTTCTCACAACCAATACGTCCCAGTAATTCCTTGCGATCGCTATGCCCCGGGAGGCTGACACCGGAGCTGCTGGCCTGTCGCTTAACGCCAGTTCTTCGTTCCCAGCTTCGAAGGTCGATCTCATCGGCGTCGACTTCCTCCTCGAGAGGCTCTGCCTCTTCATAGACGTATTCATCCTCGTCTTCGACAGCCTCGTCATCACTCCGAGAATCTTCTGCTCCGTCACCACGAAGCACCTTCATGGCTACGCGGACAATCATGGTGAACCAGAAGATGGTAATGCCCTGCAGAGCGAGCAAGGGGGTCAGGAATGACCACTTGACAGTTTCATTGTAGCAAACTCGTCCGGTGGAGCTGAGGAATGGCTCAATGAGCCACGAAAGACCGGCGGGCGGGTCCTCGGGTCCAATTAGGTGGTCGTTACTGCCGCGGAAACAGCCCGAGGGCATAATCTCGGGAGTATGGGCGTAGACTGACCAACAAACCATGACATAGACGAAGTGGCGGGCCATAAGCCATGAGAGCATGAAGACGCCGAACATGATGTCGCAAAGAGTTGTGTACCCCGCATACTTTAGACACTTGGCAGCCTACATCTTGTCAGCAAAATTTGGAAGTGACATGCCACTTCAATGGACGAGGAGCATACCGGCAGGAACAGGTCCAC